TCCCGCCTGGGTGGGAACACCCAGCTGGGGCTTTCCCCACTCGTGGCCAGAAGGAAGCCACTGAAAAGGGATGTGGAGCACAGTCCATGAAGGGGTGAGAAGGTGAGAATTATTCCTACCTAGGGCTTTTGGTATGGGAAAATGTTGGGGTACCCAAGAAGAAGCAAGAAAGACCTAGAAGAAAGGATTTCTCTCTAAATCCATAATCAAACACTATGCGTTCCCCTGCTGAGGATATAAGGAATCCTGCGGGAAACTCAGCTTTAAAGTTCAGGTTAACAGCAAATACAGACAACAAAAGAGGTAACAGCGTCTTATGAATCATGCTGCCTACGTTATTTTTTGCGTGTACTGGGGAAGGCTCTATTGACCATATTCAAGCCAATAATTGGCATTAATCCACAAGCAGATGGATATGAAAACTGCAAAATCAATGCAAGTAGACACAGTTATTCTGGAAAACAACCATTTTCTGCCTCTTTGTATGCACAGAGTATTTTTTTCCTGCAGCAGAAATGCATATAACCTCTTGCTAGACTAAGGGCATATCAAAGCAGATACCAGGCTTCAGCTGTGTGACTCCCTGAATTTTGCTGACAATCCAAAATGGATGGAAAACTATGAGCTTAATTTTTGTTGTTGGTGCCAGGGTTGTGGATTTTTGGAAGGAAATTCCAAGGAAAAAGACCTGTTCTTCTTGCCACTGCAAAGATATAGTTGCCAACTAGCCTCTAATTCTGAAATGAAATTTCTAAGCTAATTTTAAAGATAGATATTGCAATACCATCAGGACAGGCAACCATTCCTTTACATACTATAGTTTAACATCATCATGAAAGAGGGTGGAGTACACAAAAGAAGCAAACAAAGCTTCAGATGAAAAGCCTGCCTAAGTCTCCTTCCATTTACACCAGTTTTGCTCTAGCGCAACCTCCAGTTTCACTGAAGTTAGTCATGATTTACTTCTCTGTCAATGATCACTTCGGTCCCAAATTTCCTGGGAAACATTGTGGGGGCAAAGAGGCTGCAAGAATGAAGACTTAACACTGTAAAAACTGATAATTTATTAAAAGCTCATATATTAAGGGTGAGCACAAACAGTGTCTGTTAAGGGTGATGAGTAATTAAGACACAGTTAAAAGCTACACAAACTTTTGCCTCTCCAGTTCTCTGAGGGATAAATCCAGTATTTTGGGATCCATCAACCAAAACATACCGGCACAAGAAAACTTGGGGAGCTTAAAATGGCCAACTTGGAACCTTGCTTGTGGGTTCTGAACCCTTCCCTGGCTTCATACAGAGCAAACAGCCAGCAGCAAGTCCAGATTTCAAAAACAAAAAGAAGACAAACAATAATTGAGGTACTCAAGTAGCTTGGCCTGGACCTGGGTGCACCCGCTGCCGCCCCTCCTCAGCTCAGGCTCTGCAGGGATGACCCAGGGCAGCGCGGCCCCACAGCCCCATTGCATGACCCCGCAGGTTGGAGGAAGCCTTGGAGCTGCCATGGGGTTTGGCAGAGCAGCTGGAAGAGCCCACACATCAGTGAGGAAAGCTTGGCCGTGGGGCTGTGATGGGTGCTTGCACAAGAGCAAGAAAAATAGGTCCCTGTGGAATCAGTGGTAGATGCTCCTGGGACAGTGGTGCTTGCTGCGTGCGGGAGGACCAGGGGCCCAGATGATGCAAGGGGCCTCCCCATCACCCCGCCAGGGTATTGGGGCCCAACAGGGACCACCGTGGCAGGCCCATGAGGAACCCAGCTGTGCAGGCAGGGGTGCTGCAGCAAGTGACATTGCACCCAGGAGCCCTCCCCAGTATCCTCACCCTGGGCAGCCCTGGCGGGAGCCTGGGGACCACTCCCCACGGCGAGCAGCAGCAGCCTTGGTCTGTGGCAGCATGGGCAGAGGGGTGCAGAGCATCTCACTCGTCCCCCCAGAGACTGGGACTGCCCCAGCTGCCCTCCCCAGGGAGCAGAAGAGCGGCCTGCAGGTTTGGGGGACCCCAGGATGCAACACTGATATTTTATAATCCACAAGCGAGTGATTAATCCCTCTAGAGATGGCATCAGCGCCTGACCGGAGCCCGCCGCTGTTGCTTGGTTTGGGGTTTTTGCTGCTGGTGGTGG